AAAAAAAAAAAAAAAAGAAAAGAAAAGAACCTTTGGGGTCTCAGATTTCAAAAATTAGGTTTAGGTAAAATGGAGGCAGGCAAAGGAATTTACTTTCCACTCTGATGGCTTTGTTTACCAGGTCTTCCTCTATTGTTGCCAATTACTCTTCTAAAACTCAAATCTGGCTCAGCACCTGTGGCTCAAGTGGCTAAGGCGCCAGCCACATACACTTAAGGTGGCGGGTTTGAATCCAGCCTGGACCAGCCAAACAACAATGACAGCTGCAATGACAGCCCTGTAGTCCCAGCTACTTGGGAGGCTGAGGCAGGAGACTCGCTTGAGCCCAGAAGTTGGAGATTGCTGTGAACTATGAAGCCACAGCACTCTACCCAGGGGGATAGCTTGAGGCTCTGTCTCAAAAAAAATAAATAAAACTCAAATCTGTCCATTCAAAAACTTTCATGGCCTTTGTTGGGCTCTTAAGATGAGGACACAATCAGAATGTTGTGGTGAATGATCTTTCTGTTAGAGAAACATGAATGAAACACAAAGGAGGAAGCCATCCATTCTACCTGGGCTGTGTGTGAAAGTCAGTGTTTCAAGAAAAGGTCAAAATCTGGGGGTTTGGTATTGAAGACCCATCATGCATTTCTAGAGATCCCATTGCTTAACACTCCCACTCAAACTTATGTTCTCAGCCTTCCAGAATTGCTCTCAGGCTTCCAAGCTTTATATGGAGCAGTTTCTTCTGTCTGGAATGATCCTGCCCACTCACTGTTACTCTCTCACTGTCTCCCAGACAAACGCCTAATCTATCCAGATCCACTTTATTGTGTGTAAAATAAAAATCTTATGATCACCTTCTAACCCTTTCTGCAAAAGAGAAGGGAAGGCCTACAGATATTCATAAAGAAATTCCTTGCTGAGGCCTCCCATATGAAGCAACGACATGTGATTGTAACTTTCAGTCTGTTGGTGAAGTCTAACTTCTAAAACTAAAGTCTGTTTGATTCCACACTCATGATGAATTATAATTTTATCTTCTCGGGTGCAGAACAGAGGTAAGTCAGGATCAAACATCCTACCCAGAACCATATATGTAATCGATGCTGCCTTCAGTTCTCTTTTCTAACATTTACCTTACTATGTGTAAAATGTAGATTTTCCTGGGCCTCACAAGAATTTAAAGCATTTTGTCTCACTACCCACCCACACCCCTTGCTTTTTTTTTCTTCAATTCCGTATGCTCCTTCTTTATTAAAGCTCTAAAATTCCCCTTTAGAAAAACACCCACAGATTTGTCTGTGGTTTGTGTTTTTCCCAGGCATCCTCACCTTTGGCTTAGTAAGTCTCCAATAACTGAGATATCTGCCTTAGTCACTTAGGTTGTCATGTATCATTTTCTGTTGAAAACTCCCCAATTCCTTAGACATATCTAGGCCTTTCAAGTCCTGTCAGCCATATAGACATATATTATAGAAATTGTTAAATATGGCCGGGTACGGTGGCTCGTGCCTATAATTCTAGCAGTCTTGGAGGCCGAGGTCGGTGGATTGTTGGAGCTCACGAGTTCGAGACCAGCCTGAGCCAACTTGAGACCCCATCTCCAAAAAACAGCCAGGTGTTGTGGGAAGTGCTTGTAGTCCCATCTACTTGGGAGGGTAAGTGAATTACTTGAGCCCAAGAGTTTGAGGTTGCTGTGAGCTGTGATAGCACAGCACTCTATTGAGGGTGACAAGGTAAAACACTCTCAAAAAAAAAAAAAAGAAATTGTTAAATTCTGATATGCCAGCCCCTTCCACTGGACCATGCACACAGCCATGTGTCAGCTTGGGTGTGCAAGGATATCAGTGGTGGCAGGCCTTCCTCCACCACAAAGGCTGAAAACCAACAACTATGAGAATGCCCATGCCAGAACCGAGCCTGTGCATTGCTGTGGTGCACACAGGTGGCTGCCTTGGTTCAGATGCTCCTAGGCTGCCAGGGACCTAACCTCAAACCCTCCCCCCACCCTTCCCATTCTCCCCTCTACCTTTTCTTTGCCTTACTCTATGTTTCCTTTGCTTCGTGGGAGTGTGCACTTCATGTGTAGAGAGGCAAGCCCAAGCTGGCACCTTTTTCCATTTCATATTTGGAACTTCAAGGTTCCAAGACCCAGTGGAACACAAGTAGGAATTCACCGCCCTTCCAGCAATGTTTCCCCCAACTTAGCCTTGTTATTTTCAAAGTGTAACAGAGGATTGAAGTGCTGATCAAATGTCCTCAGTCCCTCCCCTTGATAAGCCTCAGATACTACATGAGCACAGGGTGTCTGAACTGTCACTAGTGGGGCTGTTTAAAATCCTGCTGGGTCTCCATTCACAGGACTTCTGTCTTCAACTCATAAGGGTATCTTTGTGTTTACACACCTCTTATTCATAACCTGACGAAAGTTCTGATATTACCCTTCTGCAGATAGACCATAATGGGAAATTTAGGGTCTGTATCCTGGTACAACTGCCATACAGATTTGAATAAACTGAGTAGCCTGGGTAGCACACCTGGGGAAGACAGTGAGTTTGGAAATTCTCCATACCCCCAACCCAGAAATTCAGCTGTTGGATAGAACAACAGAGAATACAAGCAAAGTAATTAGAAAGATAAATGGGTACCAAGGCCTGGAATATAATGAAAATCAGAGTAGACTATGTAAGTGATACTTAAGAATGTGCCATTTGAGGATGGAGGAAGTACCGAACTGAATAGATGAAATGATCAGGAAACACTGAAACAAACTGAATTGGGGAGGAATTGTGCCAGGCCTATGGTGGTAGGGATAGTGAGTGATATTGCTAAACATTACATTCTGAGAATTCTCCTCATTTTGGTATAGGCCAGTCTACTATATCTGACATATACTCTTGTCATAAACTAATACACTGCAGTCTGGTTTTATAGCACACAGATGAGGGTAACTAAACTTGGCAAACAGTACGTACTCAATAAACATTTACTGAATAACTCTGCCTTGAAGAAGGGAGCAGAAAGACAGTTGCCACTTGAGTACGTATTTGTCAAGTGAAAGGGAATTCCAGGCAGAATAACAGGAGCACCATGAAAAATGATGGGATGAGTCAGTGCTTGGGAGTCTCGAGAGGAAAAATTTTCAATAGTGCGTGCAAGAGCTAACTAGTGGCTTGAAAATGTAGATTTAGAGAACCTAGGTTAAAAAGGAAAAAAAAAATCTATGTCACCCCACATCCTCCCGGGTAAAGGAGTCAGCAGCTGCTATGGAATGGTGCCATATTAAGCAAGTAAGGTCACAGTGTAACACACCTCTTGGAGATGGGACACACAAAAAGATAGAAGAAGCAGCAGCAAACAAACAAAAAGCAAGTAAGGGGCAAAGATAAATCAAAAGAAAAGCCTCTTTGAAGGTGTGCCTATGGGGACAGGGGAGACTACATTCTTCAAGAGCCATGTTCTTCACAGCCAGGTGAAACCAGTCATGTTTAATTATCCTTCCCAGTCAGCGTGTAGGCCTTCAGTACCTCTGACTGTACAAAAGGAAGAGGCTCTTAACTATACTTGATACATACTTTGATCATAAACTAATACACTACAGTCTGGTTTTATAGACCAATAGTTAGTGAGTCAGCATTCCTGCACACAGATCAGGGTAACTAAACTTGGCAAACAGTAGGCACTCAATAAACATTTACTCAATAACTCCGCCCTCAACCTCTCTCTAGTTAGGTATTTGCCCTCCTGTCCTGTACATAGCCCTAAGTTAGTTTTCCCCAAACTCTTCGGATTCCTACAGAAAAAAAGGCCAAAATGCCCTCTACTACCCAGCCCCTACCAACTGTCTCCAAACTCCCCAGGATCCATACCAGTTTTTTACTCTGGCTAAACAAGAATGTCCTCTCTACACACCACTATAATGTCACACTGGTTGGGCTTCACTTATTTCAAACCCAATTCCTTCTTTCACCTATCTAAGCCCAATCATCCTTTGAACCTTGCTTCAACCCTATCTCTTTCAATAAAGCTTTCCCGATCACTGCTGCTTAGAACCACCTCTTATTTTCTTCAGCCCACTACCTATACCATTCACACAACACTTAACTTTTACCTTGCTTGCTCATCTCCCTTGCTAGACTGGGCTCTTTCTCACGGGTCAAGATTCAATTGACTTTATGTTAACTCTAAATTAGACACTGGAAATATAAGACAGATACACTAGTGTTACTTACAGAACTTGTCAGGCTTTAAAAACTCAAAGCTATGGTGCCCATAGCTCAATGGGTTGGGTGCCAGCTATATATACCAAGGCTGGTGGGTTTGAGCCTAGCCTGGGCCTGCTAAATGATAACAACTGTCACCAAAAAATAGCCAGGTGTTGAGGCAGGTGCCTATAGTCCCAGCTACTCGGGAGGCTTAAACCCATGAGTTTGAGGTTGCTGTGAGTTGTGACACCATGTCACTCTACTGAGGGCAACATAGTAAGACTGTCTCAAAAAAAAAAAATTCAAATATATGTCCTCCACAAGTAAAGGACACAGAACACACTAGTGATGCCTGCTGAATGACTGAGAAACAACTTCAAGATAAGATAATACAAAAGTAAACCAGTTTCCAAGTGGACTTGCTAACTTAGGGAATCTCTGGTCTTCAAAAATCTGAATTAAGATAGCTTGAGGGCAACACCTGTGTGGCTCAAAGGAGTAGGGCGCCGGCCCCATATGCTAGAGGTGGCGGGTTCAAACCCAGCCCCAGCCAAAAATGGCAAAAAAAAAAAAAAAAGCTTGATAGTATCCCCAGGGAAAATCAGAAATCTTTCCTAGTGGCAGATACTACCCTTATCCTTGTCCTCTTTACTCCTACAAATAATTTTTCAAATATACTGTCCAGTTCACAGAAAACCTGGCACATAAAGAGATGAGGCATTAGATACTATAATCAGTAAAAACAAGAGAGACCCACAGACTTCAGGTATTGGCTGGGTGCACTGGCTCACCACATGTAATCCTGGCATTCTGGGAGGCTGAGGCAGGATCTCTTGAGCACAGTTCAGAGACTAGCCTGAGGAAGAGTGAGACTTCATCTCTACTAAAAAAAGAAAAATTAGCCAGGGGTTGTGGCAGGTGCCTTTAGTCCCAGCTCCTCAGAAGGCTGAAATAGGAAGATTGTTTGAACCCAGGAGTTCAAAGTTGCTGTGAGCTATGGTGCCGTGGCACTCTGGCCTGAGCAAGAGTCTGTCTCAGAAAACAACAAAGACTTTAGGTATTGAAATTATTGTTTTTTGAGACAAAGCCTCAAGCTGTCACCCTGGGTAGAGTGCTGTGACATTACAGCTCACAGCAACCTCCAGCTCCTGGGCCCAAGGATTCTCTTGCCTCAGCCTCCTAAGTAGCTGGGACTACAGATGCCCACCACGCCTGGCTATTTTTTGGTTGTAGTTGTCATTGTTGTTTGGCAGGCTCGGGCTGGATTCAAACCCGCCAGCTCTTGGTGTATGTGGCTGGCGCCTTAGCCGCTTGAGCCACAGGCGCCAAGCCAGGTATTGAAATTACTAATCGTAGTACTGCACCTTCCCTATAACCAAGTGCTCATTATTTACTTGAAAGTGTGGTTTGGGCTAGGTAGCTAATGATTTATTCTTATATGTTTATATATATTTTTTGAGACAGAGTCTTACTCTGTCACTCTACCCAGAGTGACACCTTGAGACTCTGTCTCAAGAATAAAAATAAAAAGTTGTTCATTAGCTCAGCAATGGGTTTTCATTTATAAGCAAAAGAATTTTTCATCATACCTCAACTTAAGGTATAACATTCCTAGGAATTAGAAATTAGAGCAAGAGCCCATCAATCCATGATACACAAAGAATTATAAATGAAATTTGCATTGTATCCACTTTTTCAAATGTTTATTAAGGCTATTGTACAGGGCCCCATAAACTTGAAGGCTATAAAGCATTTTCAGCTCTGTGGTCCATACTGTGCTCTTTAAACTTTTTTCTTGCATTTTTTTTGGCCAGGGCTGGGTTTGAACCTGCCACCTCCCGCATATGGGGCCGGCACCCTACTCCTTTGAGCCACAGGTGCTGCCCAAAGTGTGGGGTTTTTTTGTTGTTGTTTTATGAGACAGACTCTCACTTTGTCACCCTTGGTAAGAGTGTTGTAGCATCACAGATCACAGCAACCTCCAACTCCTGGGCTCAAGTGATTCTCTTGCCTCAGACTCCAGAGTAGCTGGGTCTACAGGTGCCGGCCACAATACGTGGCTATTTTTAGAGACAGGGGTCTGCTCTTGCTCAGGCTGGTCTCAAACCTGTGAGCTCAGGGCAATCTACCCGCCTTGGCCTCTCACAGTGCTGGGATTATAGGCGTGAGCCATAGCGCCCAGCCTGATACTGTGGTCTTTAAAGTGGCACCTATGGAAGTCTGGAGTTGAAGTGTGAAAAGTAGTCACAGATGCAAATTAAGAGCTATGGCAGTGTTCCAATAAAACTTTAATTGCAAAAACAGGCCAGTTTGCTGACCCCTGCTATAGTGAGTAACATGTAAGACATACATGAATACAGACCGACGGAAAGGCACTACTGAATTCGTAATTCATCTTTTATTGTTTCCTTATTCAAACACTTAAAAGTACAAATTCTAATAAGAAAATATGATATTGTGATGTTAACAAGGGGCTATTCATACTGAAAAGTTGAATCACCACTTTAAGACAGGAAGGTTTTGGTCTTCAGATCTGATGAAGCCCATTATAAAGAAACCTGCTATTAACATTTTTAAAGTTGCATAGTTGATGTCTTTAGCTGTGTTAAATACCTTCTTTACATGTATTATTTCTTGCATTTGAAAACAAAACTCAATGATGTACATACTATTAACCCCCATTTTATAGATGAGGAAACCATGGCTCAGGGAGTCCAGTAACTTGGCAAGGTTCACATAGCAAATTAGTGGCAAAGCAGAATCTAAACTCCAGGGTTACACACATCCAAAGGCCATTTCTTTGACTACTATACTTGCCAACCAATCCTCCACGGTAGGCCGAGAAGATTCACAGGGTATAGAAGGTTGGCCCAAGTTTTTGAATTCCTGGTCTCCCCCTTTGGGAGCTTTCAACAATTACCACTGCCCTAGGAGCTCTCATCTTCCCTTTACTTCTCTGACCCCAGGCATGGATACTTACTCCTTCACTGAAGTCTACAACTTTAGTTTCGAGGATAGCAACTGGAATTAAAATAGAGGAAAACTGGCTCAGCGCCTGTGGCTCAAGTGGCTAAGGCGCCAGCCACATACACCTAAGGTGGCGGGTCTGAATCCCCAGCCCGGGCCTGCCAAACAACAATGATGGCTGCAACCAAAAAATGGCCAGGCGCCTGTAGTCCCAGCTACTCGGGAGGCTGAGGCAGGAGACTCGCTTGAGCCCAGGAGTTGGAGGTTGCTGTGAGCGTGATGCCACGGCACTCTACCGAGGGGGGATAGCTTGAGGCTCCGTCTCAAAAAAAAAAAAAAAAAAAAAAAAAAAGAAAGAGAGGAAAACTTTTTAACTAGCTCACCAGATATGCTAAAATCACAGGTCTTGGCACATCCTTATAGGTTTCTGTAATTTATTGGCTTCTTTGGACCTTGGGCTGTGATTTCCATGGGACAAAGAAACTTCCGTACCTGGGAGTCCCCTTAAGTTCGCTCTAGAACACAAAGTCCAAGGATAAATTTCTTCTTTTGCCAGTCTTCATTTTCTGTCCCAGGAAGTGTTTTTTCTCTGTATTATAATAAACACTAAATAAACATGTCTAATCTCTTTAGAGGAGATCCCAACCCCTAGCCATTGCAGTGTGTTCTGTCTTTGTGGCCCTAGAGGGTAAGCCATGTCATAACAACAACCCAACACCGGTGAGGGGGTGTCATTTTCCTTATTGAAACCTACTCTGCTTCCCAGCCAGAGACCATTTAGTAGGAATGGGGGCTGACACTTGACATAGTGAGTGTATACTTCACACTGATCTTTAAAAAGATGTCAGTGAGGTAGTGTTTCCCAATCCTGGTCCAGCCCCCAGGACTTTTGATGGCTTCCTGCCCTTTCCTTGTTGGCGCAACTATCCCACTGCAGCACCACTCCCATTATACCCACTGCTATGCTTCTCTTCTAGGAACAAATGACTGGAAAAACGAGATGAAACAAATTGCCCTTCAGATATGAAGTAAAATCATTCTTTAATTTAAAAAACCACTGCTGGGCTTTTAAAAAAAGTCTATAAATCTTTAATGTACTGGAGAAATGGTTATAGCAGCCTCATGTAAGTTATAGGAATTAATAAACATTATCACAGTATTAAGAAGGCAAAGTAAACAAATAGCTTAAGTATTTTATTTGTTTGCAACTAAGCTTGTTAACACTATATAATGAAAATGTACAAAGAATAATGTTGCAGTTTTTGGTTAGATTTAAGTCAAAGACATTCATTAATAAGGAATCTTCGAATGTGAATATTCCAGAAATTTCTCTAAGCCATCTCATCAGAACTGTCTCTGAATATTACCTTACTTTAGAAGGTACTGACATATATTTGAATTAAACTCAGAATTTTCCAAAATAAGCCCTAATTAAAATAACTATTCTATATTCAAACTAAACAATATTAACAGAACTTTCCTTTCCAGAAACAGTAATAAAGGAAACAAGGCATTTTGTAAAATGTGGTCCTGAACAAGTCACAGTAAAAAATAATTGTATACTTAACTTCCACCTCCTCAAAACAGAGGCTACTTTCTGTTCCTCAGCCTTGGAAACAAGGTGAAGAACAGCCTATAAGCAACTTCAGGCAGGCGGTTGCCAAAACAAATCTCAAGCAGTTGAACATGGACACCTCAAAAGAATTGGGGGAAACCTGACCAAAGGATCCAAATCCTATTTTTAACAACTGATACAAAGGTGAAGTGGCTCCTCCCAAGCAGCAGTGCCGCCAGGGCCTGACCCAGCCCCAGCCCCACACTCACCTATGTTATACTCCCGAGTAAACCCTGATGCTCCTGGTTCAGGGGAGACCTCCTCCCTTTGGAGGTTCAGTGTCCAGGGAGCTCTTGACAGTGTAAATGAGGTGAGTGCTGACTCCACGTGGGTATTTTAAGGCTTGGAGTCAAAAGTATTTTTCTAACACAGCTAGGCAGAGTCCATGTGTCAATGGCCGTCTCCAGTTTGTTCTAATTTCTCACCACACATTTGTAGATCTAGGACCGCAGACCTTCACTATATCCTCATAATCACATCTAATGTCCATCCTAACTTATGATTCATATTCTGTGCCTGGAAACAGTCCCTGTATTTAACAATAATACCTACACATAAAACAATCCACTGTTACAACTTATATGGTCACAAAACATTAATGATCTTCTGTAGACCAA